AGCAGCAGTGTGCGTGCTGTTCCTGTCGATTGCATGTTTTCCATTTCAATAACTTATTGGCACATGTTTATAGATCAAGACCTCGGTAACCTGCAATTATAGCTGCAATTATATTAACAATCTCTAATTATAATAAATGGTAGCACTTCCTTGTACTTTAACTGTAAGGCCAGCACTCAGTAGTAGTTGCTTTTGTTTATATATATGCATGTTAGTGTTCCCTCTAAGCTGCATGGTTGCACAACAACCAATCAAGAACCATACACTTCATTATTCCAGCCATGCACATCCTCCGTAATGGTGAGGAGTCTCAACATGTTGACGGCCTTAATGACCCTGGCATTCGATAGACCTAAAGCCCAAATAACCAACTGGTAGCACTGCAAAGCAGCCTAATGTGCTTATATTATAGATCAAGACCTCGGTAATTTCATAGTTAGCTACAATTATATTAATGATCTCTAATTATAATAAATAGTAGCACTTCCTTGTACTTCAACTTTAAGGCCAGCACTCAATAGTAGTTGCTTTATAGTATTCTGGTGGATTGTGGAGAGCGTGTTATGATTGGTTGGTTTATCCCTGTTTCTGCTTGGAGGAGAGATTTCCTATAGATTCAACCAATGGTAGCCACAGAATTTCTGTTTAGTGAAGGTTTAATTGTGTTAATATAAAATGATTCTTTAATTTTTTTTATCTTCCAAAATTTGTCTGTGTCGATGATTCTAGTAGCATTAAATGTATAATGTATTTGTACATTGATATGTACATTATAGATGTGTAGGGTCGATGTTCTAAAAACACCTCCCTCCCCCAAAAAATACTGGTAGTGCATATCCACACATTTTCTTGATACTGGTGCACATGAGAAAATTCATTCCACACATTGTTTGAAAAAATTAGAGGAAACATTGATGCATGTTACAAATTTCAATAAATTATCAGCATATGTTTATAGACCTGGACCTTGGTAACCTCTTAGTTAGCTACAGCTATATTATAGATCTCTAATTATAATAAATGGTAGCACAGTTCTATTGGTATTTTTTTTCAAATGCTTAGTCAAAATTTTAAACAGTTAAATATCTATGCTATTGAATTTATTTAAAAGTAAATGCAATAATGCATTCTTCTCTCATTTAGCTTTACATTTTTTATTGTTTTTTTATCAAGATTATTTACCCTTAATTTTTTGTCTTCTTGATATGTACAAGCAGACTATAAACAGGCCATTTAATGTGATGTACTTAACTGAGCTTGTCAGTCATAATACTAAAGTTAAGCTATATATATACTTGTATGGATTTACCATTTAAGAGAGCTAAAGACACCTTAAACATCACTTGTACATTAAAATGATTTTCTGTTCTTGAAGACTATCAAAGAACAGCAATATTCAGAAAGTTTTGACACTAATTTGTTGACCATAACTACTTGTCTTTTTAAAAAGCCTTCTTTTTATCTCATGAAATGTGATATAACTATCATTATCTTGTATAAATACAATCCAGTTGTAACTAAATACATTGGAATAAATAAAGTATGTTAAACAGGCACTTGGAAATTGACTAGAAATTTACTAGTTCTCATAAATTAACTAATTTATTAAAAATTACTAACTTTGATTTAAGTGAATGATAACATATTTAATTGACAGAAAAAACAAACTAACAATTTGTCAAGAAATATTAGACATGTAATTTTATTGAATTGATTTTTGTTTGTTAAAGATATACCTAGCATGATATCAGTACAGAAAAAACAACATTTTATTACATTTGGCATATAAGCTACACATAATTTACAAAAAGATCACATTTGCTAAATAAGCCTATGATAATTGTTAAAATTTCTCAGATATATAGATATCTTAATAATAAAAGGTACAAAAATAAGTCTTTTTTTTTTTTTTTTTTCTTGTGTAAAATAAATAGCCACAACATTGGTTTTAGTATGACTATTAAAAAAAGACCTTTCAGTTTGAAAATGTTTTGGATTTTAATTTTTTTATGATTAGTTCAATCCATATATTAAGATGGTAACATTGTATGTTACTTTACTCTGTGTAAATCTAGGAAATTGAAATTTTCATTTAAGTTTAGAATTATAGATGTTGACTTTATACCTTCATATAAGGTAGTGTTTTTCTACTTGTATCAGTTGCTAATACTATAAATGATGCTATTAAAATTGATTAAGTGTGATGTATGATTATTTAAGACCATGTGGATTTTTTAAACAGTGCTTTAGTAGTTACAGAAGTTAAATTTGCATGTGTTAAGCCTGTTTATCAGCATTAAAACAAATGACAGCTATTATTAATCCTTTTTTTTTACAGGTATTGTATTGTAAAGTCTCAAAAAACAGGTGATCACTATCTCATTGCTGAAAATGTAATACCTGATCTAGAAAAAAGAATAGAAACAAAATTAGATGTAGTAAAAACATTTGAAGGTTAGTTCTTATTTTCAAATTTTTTTTTAGGGATAATAAATTTTTTTAGAACAAAAAAGAATGGAAGCAAAATTAGATGTAGTAAAAAAATTTCAAGGCTAGTTCTTATTTACTAAAGTTGTTGAGAATAATATATTTTTTAGAATAAATAAAAAATTGTTTGACGCATTCTTTTACGAGTTATTAATATTGTTTTATAAAGGTATATAAAAAAAAGTAACAATTTAGTTGTGCTTTTTTTATCTGAGTTTATATTGCTTCATAAGTAGTACAAAGATGAATCTTTTTATTTTCACATCAAACATTTTGTCCCTTATTTCATTTTTTTCTACTTCTGACATAAAATATCTAATTTGTCAAAAAAGACATTATCATTTACTACTCGTAATTTTTTAAACTTTTGAGGATTAAAGGCCCCCATCATGACTCACAGAGATCCCTATGTGCCAATCAATTCCATCCATTATTCCCAGTTATTTTTTTAGCAACCATGGGGGTGGGGGTAATGTACCCAAAAAAAGATTATGTACCCCCCAAAAAAAACCATTAGGACACCTGCCCATGCTACCTCACTATGTGTGTTCTATTTGATTCCACAATTTTGTGAGTGGAGGTATGAACCCACGAGAGCCAGGGATACAAAATCCAGTGCCAGATTTGGATTCAGTGACCCTGAAAACCTATTCCTAGATCCCTCTCATGCCTGGGTGATCTTCCAAGCACATTCTAACCACCGTTGATAGGGGGACACCTCAAACCTACCTGCCAAGTTTGATCTTTTAGCTCCAAAACTGTGGGAGGAGTTTGTGAACAAATTCATAATAGGAATTAATATATAATATGTTTTAAGGAATAATAGCTTGTGAATGTCTAAATGAAACATATTTTGATTTAAGTTCAATCAAGGTTCTGCAGTTTCAGTTTTATTCTATTGGTTACTACAGAATTATTTTTAAGGTCACACTCAAAATTTTGTGGTATTTCAGATTGTTTCACTGATATGTTGGTTCACAATATCATCGATTTCTCAGGAGCAACAATTACATTAAACTAATCAATTAGTCAAAATTACAATTAATCAATTTAAAGAAAATAATCAATTGATCAAAATTAATTGTTCTAATTTTTTTTTTGGGAAACAAGCATCCTCTTAACCAATGCAATTCTTTGTTTTTCTAATTATGATTATAAATAATTATAACTATTTAATTTTAATTAAACATTTTGAAATGTTTTTTTAAGCTGTTTTAATTTGATTTCAATCACTTTACTAGAAATAATGGTATGAGCTTTGAAATCACTAGATTATGACCAGACTGAGCTAATGATTTTCAGTTTATACTAACATTATTTTTAAATAATCTTCATTAAATCAGATAAGTTTAGTTAAGTTTGCTGTTTAGTGAGTATGGTAGGCAACTGCAAGATATTTCGATGACTCAAATATTTATTACATATTATTTTCATGTTTATCTAAACAAAATACATAGATAAATTGGCTAACTGGCTACTTAATTATTTCTAATTAGAATCATGATATGTTTTAAATAAAAAATGTTATTACCTTTATTGGTGTTAGTAAAACATGTTTCATTATTTAATTATCAATTTATTTGATTTACAGAAGATCAGTCTGTGATCATGACATATTTTAAAAACAATCATAATAGTGACTGCACGGTGGTATTTAGTTTACATTTATTCGCTAAGTAAGAAATGTCCAGCTTATCTCTAAAAATACACTATCAGTTTTTTTTTAGAAAATGTCTCGTATGTTGTGAGGGTAATTTTAAAACTATTTATAAGAAGCAGATGAATGACAATAGGATGATTAATACCATGTTAAAATAATGCAGTGGTTGAAAAAGTTTTGAAGCCGGCACATATATGTATATATTTTTAATTGTATGATGGTGGAGTTTTAAAGGTGGCATGTACTACTTTCTTATTTAAATGTAATCAGTTAATTAGGAAATACCACTAATTGCCTAGCTCTAATGCTCAGTGCTAACATTTCTACTCATCTATGTTAGTATGTGTTGATTTATTAAGACCTGTTATTATTAATAACCTGGCTGAGGATGAGTGAATCTATTTCAGCATGTGTTGATTTATTAAGACCTATTATTATTAATGACCTGGCTGAGGTTGAGTGAATCTATGTCAGAATGTGTTGATTTAATGAGATCTATTATCATTAATGACCTGGCTGAGGTTGAGTGAAACTATTTAGCATGTGTTGATTTAATAAGATCTATTATTATTAATGACCTGGCTGAGGTTGAGTGAATCTATGTTAGCATGTATTGATTTAATAAGATTTATTATTATTAATGACCTGGCTGAGGTTGAGTGAATCCATGTTAGCATGTGTTGATTTATTACGATCTATTATTATTATTAATGACCTGGCTGAGGTTGAGTGAATCTATTTAGCATGTGTTGATTTACTAAGATGTATTATCATTAATGACCTGGCATGGGTTGAGTGAATTTATTATTAAATCAATTTAATAATATGTATAATGAAGATCTAACCTTTGTATTTAGGAAAAACTGGAAAAAATAAACTTTCTTTTTAGTTGTAATGACTACTTAAAGAGTGTAAAGGTCGTATCAAAGTAAAATAACAAAGTTAACATGCATGTCTCTTCTCTCTCTCTCTCTTTTTTTTTTGTTGTTGTTATAGGGTCAAGCTTGCAGGGAGCATCTTACTGTCATCCTTTGTATAAAAGCATTGAATTTCCATTGGTTGAAGGACAGCATGTTACTATGTCCAAAGGTACAGGATTGGTTCACACAGCTCCCAATCATGGGCTAGAAGATTATCTCATTGCTCAGGAGCATAAGTTGCCTATTGGTGTAAGTTGTTATAAGTATGTTAAAAAAATAATTTCTTTAAAACTGTACCTCCATTCCTTACTTTATATTAACCCATGTGTCAAGTATATAAACTAATGATATTTCTATTCTTTTACATTTTGTAGTTTCTTTGTAATTTACAATTGATTTTTAATAATGTGGGTTTACCAAAGAAAGGGATAGCAGTTATCACAGTTAAAGGTAAGTGTTTAATGTTAGAATTCATTCATTTATTCATTGTTCAACTACCCAGTGTTAACACTTGGGCAAAAAATTGTATTCAACAGTATGTGATGCACATTACCAAAGATATTCTTCATGTTGGTGTTTATCATGTCCAGAATTTATCTCGATTCATTGTATTACAAATGGTTAATAGAAAATGTTTTAAGAACAATTTCACTTGAAAAAGATAAATTAATTCACAAAAGATAATGTAATATTCTTAAATAGTAAAACTACTGGTACCACCAAGGTAAACTGTTGTGTTTTCTCGAAGTCAGTACCTCACTTAGTGGGAGGGTATTTGTCTTTGCAGTCAAATTACATGAGACACCTGCATTTATATACCAATGCAATAATTTTTGGACCTCCAAATGTACTTTAACTATTGGATGTAGGATAATTTTATGCATATGTCATATTATGTATATGTATAATTACAAATGATAATCATACACTTCACAAAAATAACTGAAGACATTAAAATTTTGTCAGGTTTCTCGTGAATTTTGTGAGAATGTACCCAAAATCCATCATAGAGCAAAGCAGTTAATAGCTTTTGTTGTGTTCAAGAACCATATTATTAAAATAATTGAATATTTCAATTTAAAAAATTCTTACAGTGAAGTAAGTGGAAGTCAAATACTTTATCAAAATTTTGTTTCATCCAAATATTTAACACATTTATTGCATAATACAAAAGCAGTTTGATGGTTAAATAAACATACTTGTCATCAAAATAATTTCAAATAGTAACAATGAACTCTTAATTTAAAAAACAACATTAGGAATATGTAAAATAGTAACTAAAAGCAAGTGTGATATAAGTAGGCCTGAGTTCCTGTAAATTGATTAGCATTATTTAGTAAAAGTGTAGATAATGAGTGTTTAAACAACTAACTGTATACAAACTGAATTTGTGGGCATCTGAGAATTTTTTCCAGAGGGGGGCAAGTGCCACCTCTTGCTCCCCCTGTGGACACCCATGAATGAATTACATATTATTTTGGATAATTAATCATCCATTTATCAGCTTTATAAGAATGCTTCTGCAATAATCACAAAGGCAGTTACATATGTGGAGGCCTAAATAAGTTTTTATTGTAAAGTTTCAATTGCTTATGACAGACTATTTATGTTTAAAAATTAGGTGAACTTGTATTAATATTTGTATGAGTGAGATGGTCAATAACCAAAGACTTTAAAAAATTAATGTTTTTAAGCTCTATTTCTCACTTTGGTATTTTTGCTTCTATACTGTGATACAGGAGTGCTTCGTTGATGAGCAGGGATGTTTCAATGAAAAGGCAATTAGTGAAATAATTGGAAAAGATGTTTTGGGAGAAGGAAATGAAGCAGTTCTCAGCTTGATTCAGAATCATATTGTGCATCAAGGAACACTTGTACATAGTTATCCATATGATTGGCGAAGTAAGCGTCCTGTGGTCATACGAGCAAGTCAGCAATGGTTTATAGACTTAGAGAAATTACGTCATGAAGCCAAAGTAAATGCATTAATCACTTATCTTAATTTTCTTGGAGGTTGTTACCCTCCAAGATGGATCTGATTTATGCTTTAGGTCATTTATAATTTTCAATATTCTACAAAAACATGATACATTTCCAAGAGATGCATAGTTTGAAGGATGTTTCAGATGTACATGTACTGTATATAAAGAAAACTCTTCAAAATGTTATATTTTTGTACTTTAAGCTAAATGTTAAGTATTTTTAAATGTGAAAGTCTGTCGTAAATTTCTTTAAACTTCTATATATTTCTTTATTCGAGTTCAATTGTTTGTTTAAAAATATCATTGTATCTGTTAAAGTAGCTTGTTTCTAAAAAGTCTTTGGTAAACTAAATTTAAAATGTTTCAAAAAGGGATGCAGACATCATTTTTCAATGAACAAAACAGTGACATCTGTAAAATTATTATAATGACATAGGCACCCATGGTAAAAAAACTAAACAAAATAAAGATATCTGTGATAAGAATAAACAGTATGCTGTTTGCAAGAAACAAACTAAACATGATGCAGACAGTTATGATAAAAAATCAAAACAATATACAAGTCTCTTTAATAAAAAAAAAAACTAATTACATACATACATAGAATATAGACTCTTGTGATGAAAAATTAAAGTACGTACAGAAATATTTAGAATAAACAAAAACTAAAGCTATACATTTCTATGATAAATATAATTAAGATAAATGATTATTTTAACTATTTTTAATAGGTTTTGAGGTTTTTGTTAATTGTGACCATTGTTCTGTATCAGTGAAACATAAGATGGAAAATACTGTTTCTTTGAATAATGATCATATGCTTTTTTTGTGTGTTTTATATTCAGCTTTTATTTCATCACTTAAAATAATAACAAGTTGATTCTAACAACCCATGAGCGAAAGCAAGATAATGCACTATTTCCTTAAACGTTTTTTTCAGTTTCATCAGTCTTAAATTGTTTTGTTTGTACTTCATTACAGAAGTGCTTAGAAGAAGTCCAGGTCTTTCCTCTATCAATGAAACACATGTTAGAAGCTCAATTAGAAAAAAGGCCACACTGGTGCATTTCAAGACAGAGAGCATGGGGTGTGCCAATTCCAGTATTTTTTGCTGGACCTGAAAAGAGAACCGTGATTTCAAGGTACTATGCAGCAATACACAGTGTATTACAACCAGTGATGTTATTGGTAATCCAGTCTATGTGTAATAAACTTTTAGCTTATAATTTAGTTTGTTTGATCAGTTTGTTATCATGAGTTAAGTAAAACTTTTCTTAATCTATTTGTTAAGAGTATTGAAGCAAAAAAATATTATTTATTGAATATTTTAACTTGTGTATTCACTGAGGCATGAAAATTCAGCGACTCTCTATTGACACTCCACATTTTCAAGAAGGTAGTAATAAGAAAAGTTGCATAAAATTATAACTACTACAAGGTCTAGTAAAGAGATCAAATGTCAGTCAAATAGTGTTAAACAATGGTGATCTTTGTCAAGGTTTTACAACACCCAGAGGTATAATAGAGAGAGGATTATTCAAACCTCATTTAGGTGAGAGGCCCAGCATGGCCAGGTAGTTAAGGGTCGCGGGTTCAAATCCAAGACACACCAAACATGGTCGTCCTTTCAGCCATGGGGGCATTTTAAAAGAATACCCCAAGAGTTGGCAGCGGGTGGTGATGAATAGTTTTAAACTTTAAACAATGCTTTGTTTTACAGAAATGTTAATAAAATTAAGTGAACTTAGTAAGCAATGTTTAAGTTATCATCTATAAGAAATTTTGTAAAATTAAAGAGAAGGACCGTCAATTATATTTGCTCATTATTGGTTTATATTTGTGCTATAAATGTTATTGTTGCACAAAGGAAGAATATATTACATAGTTAAAGGAAAGCCATATAGTCTTTCATTTTATCATGTAAGATACATTTTTGGCTATTTTCACCAAGCTCTGAACAAAAATTAATGTTTATGAATCTGGATTTTTCCCTTTTTCCCTGAGCATAATATGGTACTAATAGCTCTCTAGCAGGAAGTTGAAATAATTTTAAAAAATAAGCACTAATTTCAACCTTCTAACTTTAATACAACTGTAACTTTATTGATTTTTGCCAGTCACTGTTTCTCAATGTTGGTTGTCATGGTGGGATGTAACTGCCCATATCTCAGCTTTTAGAAAACGTATGATAGTGACCTAAACACATTATTAAAGCCCTTTTTTGTTCTTTTCAATTATATAAGCCAATGTGGCATTCAGTTCATGAAAGACTTGAATAGAGATAATAACAAACTGATAAAATCTAAGCTTAGTAATATCTTGCTAGTAAAAAATGCTCTTGAGAAATCTCCACTATAATTCCAGTATTTTTCAAAGCTTGCAAAATGCTTGTTTTTGTGAGAGGACCATTAAGATTTTAGATTTTTTGTTGCAGTGAGTTGACCATGATTTTGAGTTTCCAAGCTACTTGTGCAGTGTTTTATATCATGACGATTAAGGCTTTTATGTAGCCACCAAAACTTACTATTCCTATTACAATGTATACTTTTGATATAGATGTTCTTGTGTTGGTGAATGCTGACTGAAATATTTTGAAAATCTGTCTATTTGTTGGGCTCGGGTGCAGTGTAGAGGCTCTAGTATCTCTATGATATCTCATAACTATTCTTTTTTTACTGTTAAGCAGTGTTGTTTAAAAATTAAAAGTGCTGCCAGTAAGAATTTGTCCTTTTACCTAATTGCAGTATGATGTGTTAGTATTTGATATGAAAAAACATTAACCTTCAAAGGAAACTCTAATATATATATATATATATATAAGATGTTGATTAAATATATATACCTAAATGGCTGACTAGTAAAAGATAATTCCACCAGACTTGGCTTCTGTAACTATGTAAAAAAAATAACTATTGTATCTTCAGATGAGCTAAATGTGAATTTTCAGGATATTTTTTCATTTGTTTTATTTGCATATTTGTACCAAATTAGTATTTTAAACAATTGCAGATAGTTAATTTTATACCTATATGCTGTCTTGAGATAAATTCTTAAAATTATTGAACACTTTATCATGTTGATGAAAGTCCTATTTTACATAGACCCATTGTTGATCATTTGTCGCACTTGGTGTTAACTTATGGAACTGACATCTGGTGGTCATTATCTCAACATGAACTCCTTCCCAGAGAGGTCCTTCAGAAAGTGAGTGGTGACTGACACTAATATTTTTTGAGTTCCCAAAGCGTACAAAACATAGTATATCCAAAAACCCATTCAAAACTAAAATTGCTAAGTATATTATTAATATGATGAAAAAAATGTGTATTGTACTAACACTCAATGAGATGTTTTATAAATTGACGTTTTCATTAACATTCCCTTACAATATAAATAATTGAGTACTCAGTTCAATTATATTTTATAAATTATTGTGGTCTTTTAAAATTGCTGGCTAATATTATTAATTTAATTATACAAATCAAATGATGAAGGACAAGAAACTTCTGAAATACTGGCTGTATTACAGACTTTAAACTATAGATACAATTGATGGATGTATAGAAATTGGAGCTAAAGATCAGTAGCTAACTTTTCATGGATAAACAAGTAGCCTCTTATAATTTTCTTTTATTAATTATGTATGGTCTAATGAGCTATAATTGCAATCTTTTTTATGTACTAGGCTAAATTATATGTATTCATTATGAATTTGCTGGTTAATTGCTGTGTAAAACATATATTAAACTTGTTATATTTTGATTCCATAAATAAGGTATTTGTTACAAAGTCTGTATTTTTCTTCAAGTTACAGTGATAGTTTCTCACTCATAGGTCCTATGGGACAAAAAGTAAAGCATTCATGTTACAGAGGTAATAAGATTCTCTTCAAGATATTTTATCCACATAAATAAACATTTACTTTCTACTGAAGCACATAGCACATGAACTAGCCACCAGCTCTCCAGATTATATTTTAATAGATGGAAATGCTTTTAACATAAATAACGTCATGGAATGTCATTTAAAAACAAACAACACTCATCTATATCACCCCTAGTGATTTTAATCTTGTGACTATGTCGTGATATAAAAGACTTTAGTGTAGGTATTATTAATTAATTATTTTGAGTTAGTATTTCATGATTGTTTAGTTTTTTATATTAAGAGAGTTAAATGCAGACGATTATTGGAAGTTGTGTTTATAATTCATTGATGTTGAAGTTATTGAATGTCGCATAAAATTTATTGATGTCAAGACACTTCTGCAGAGGACATACAGTTCCTTATACACAAAAAGGTAGAGCCTTATATGCAGTCTGATGCTTTTTCTCCTGTTAGCTATCTGACTGAGTTGGTGGGGGATCAAGTGTGGGCTAGTGAGAGTTTCAACTCAATTTTTCTAACATCTTCCATTGCTCAAACAGCTACTCCTGAACCTTGGATGGACATTCTGTCTCCTGCACCCTTTTTACAACTAGTATAACATGTTTCTAATGTTTTGAATACTTCTCCTGTGGCTTGTGAATCTTCATCTTCTTTATTGGGAGAAACTAGTTCATCTGATTACCTGGTCATTCCACCTTTGCCAGATATTGCTGTGCATGCAAGGAGATTTGCAGATCAATTGAGGCAGGGTGCTATCATGCCTTGTTCTCCTCGTTTATTGTATCAGTATGCCTTGGCTTTCCATTGCCTGGAGAACCCTTATTTGGATTATCAGAGGTTAGACCCTCTACTTCCTATTTGGGGCACTATATAAGATGCCACTTTTTATCTTAATCAATTTCAGTTTTGCATTTTTATCATAATTGCAACTGTTGTCTGAGCCTATCATCGATTTCCTGCTGAAATTTCAGAGGATCTTATTTATTGATTGACTTCCACTTTTGACAGGTTACCCGCTTCTGCTCTCTCCTTGGTATCTTGATTAGTTTGTTGCTGGGATCCTTTGGAGAGAGATGCCTTATTGGAGGGAGTTTGCCTTCCTACATTGTCCCTTAGAGATCTCAGTGAAGCTCCTTTTCTCAGACAGACTATTTTGCAGGAATTCCAGACTCCATTGAATCTAGAGTAGATGTGATCTGTCTACATTCTTAACTTTCTACACAACAAACATGCTCGCCCTTTCAGCCGTGGGGGCATTATAATGTAATGGCCAATCCCACTATTTGTTGGTAAAAGAATAGCCCAAGAGTTGGTGGTGATGACTAGCTGCTTTCCCTCTAGTCTTACACTGCTAAATTAGGAACAGTGTAGCTTTGCACAAAATTCAAGACAAACAAACCACATTCTACACTGGCATCTTGACTGTCTCAAAGCTCTTCTGCAGGATAGTTTACTGTATTTCCTGTCCATGTTTCCATACCTCCTGCTTCGACACCACGATCCATTGGAATACAAGGGCAATTTTGACCTTACCAGTGGGGATCCTACTCTAAGGTGGAATGCAGATTTTGGCATCGGTGACTACCTTATAGGATGACATCCTGTTGGATCTCAGGGGGTTCATGTCAGTATGGGAGACAGTCATCACAGATTCGATTGTAAATCAAGTTCACAGGAACAGATTGGTCATTCAGTTCATGTCTTCTCTACCTCTGTCTCTTTTACTGGTTGGCTTTCCACTTCTCAAGGACCCTTTTACTTCCAACCATTGAGCACAAGCCATCCGGGATCTTCTGCATAAAGAGAACATAGAGCACATCACCTCCTCTATTGAGGGTTTTTATTCTTGGCTGTTTGTGGTACCAAACAAATGGGCGATGGTGAATGATCATCGATCTTTCTTGTCCCTGTTGCTTCCTGGTTTACAATAGAGTTGTTTCTTTCTCTTTGGTGGCTCTTTTCACCCGAACTGTGGATGTCAAAATTCGACATTGCAGTTGCTTACCTTCATATCCCTATCATCATAGCGGTTCTGGGAGCTATGATGCAGGGTCTTGAATTGTTGTGAGGGAAGGTGGTACTGCTTCATTCGCAAAATTCCACAGTAGTCTTGTACATTTCAAACCAAGGAGGCACTCACTCCAGTTCTTTGTTTTTGAACAGGGGATCTTCTCCTTTTGGCACACAAACACCAAATTGTTCTTCTTGCTTGTCATGTTCCAGGGGTAATGAATCTAGTGGTCGACCAGTTATGTTATCCCAACAGAGCTCTTCCTATGGAATGGATGCTTCATCCTAAGTTTTGCATTGGATCTTCTCTCGTCTAGATTGATGCTTTCACCACACACACTGAACTGCTCAGCTCCCATCCTTCTGGTTTCCAGTACCTCACCCTCTGGCTTTGGGAGTAGATGCTCTCAACCAGGATTAGATGGGTCTTTATCTTTCTGTGTTCCCTCCAATTCAGCTACTTTCTAAGGTTCTGGCACTGATTCGCCTGTCCTGTCGAGTTCTTCTGATGGCACTATATTGCCCAGATCAGCCCTGGTTTCCACTCCTCCAGTATCTTCAGGAGTGTCAGCCTCTTCCCCTTCCTCCCTGGCCATCTCTCATATGTCAGCCTGTGTCAGACATTTTTTTTATCCAGGAGTCAGTATTCTTTGACTTCAGACCTGGCTTTTATGCAGCCATCGCATGACATCAGGAATTGACGTCTTGAATGGTGTCTTTATTAACATGTTCCATTTGACATCCTTCTTTGGGAGTTTATCAGAGAAAATGGTTTACTTATTGTCAATATTTTCTCAGACATGGGTTTAATTCTTCACGTTCCACTGCACTACATGTCTCTCAATTTTTGACATGGTTGTTTGACAAAGGTTTGGTGCCTTGTATAAGGTTGCCTTATCAGCTACTTTTCGTTTTTCTAAGAGAAGTAAAGTTTTGTATCCCTGGTTTTGTCATCTTGGATTATCTGTCCTCGATGCCCTTTCCAGGTTCCTAATTGGGATATCACAATGCATTAACACATCCATCTTCACTATATCATCTTTCACTTACAACATATTTTCTTCTGTTACTGGCTAGAGGGCATCTACATTCAGGTGTGTTTGTACTTCATGTTAACAAGACACTACCATTCCAACTACATTCTTGTATCAAGACAGGCTCTTTCTATTGAAAAATGCAGCAGCTAGGGAAGGAGATAAGGCTTTCTCTCCTATTACTCTTCCCTCCATTTCCCATTTATTCAGATCCAGATGGTTTTTTATGCCCTGTTTGGGCTCTCTAATGTTATGTGGCATGCACTGAAGTATTTTGGGGCTCACATCAACATTTATACATTGGGATCTTTTGGTATCATGTGAATTATCCCCTATCACTTTGACAAGTTGGATTTGTCAGTTGATTCAGATAGCTTACTCTAGTCTTTCATTGGAGGAGTGGAGACTTCTTAAGGTCTCATTTCATCAATGTCCCTGGCAGCTCGGTTGCATGTCCACTTGAGAGAATTGTACAGGCTGGTATGGGGACTACAGCTACCACTTTTATATCGCACTATTTACAGGATTTAGCAGTCTCCTCCTTGGGTGGATTTTGGCTACACCCATGGCTATTCTACATGCCTTGACTCGATTGTGACAGAGGGACCCCTGGTAGGACAGTGGTAAGTCTTCTGATTTATATTACTAAAATTAAGGGTTTGATTCTCCTTGGTGGACACAGCAGATAGTCCAATATGGCTTTGATATAACAAAACACACATGTGACAGAGATGAGTAATTTCATTCCTTTTCAGGGACCTTCTCATCATTCTCATTTGAATCCCACTCAGTGGCAAGTGTTCCCTCGTCAGGTATGCTTTTACAAATCCGCACGGGCTACCAGTAGAATAATAAAGACATTCCTGGTAGCAACGAGCTCTGTTGAGATGGGGTGTTCCATAAGACAACCTTGTCAGTTTCTGGGTGGTGAACAATTGTTCTATATCAAATATAATATACAATACTGGACTGCTGCTCAGGGACTATCATGAGTAAAGCATAAAGGGTCTTTGCCCATCCCTGCTAACCCCTGAATTAAACAAATCGGGGTGAGTTTGCTCTTCAAAATAGAGAACATGGTTCACCTATTGCACTGTCTCCAGAACATCATTCCTCAGGACTACCCAATGTGAGTCACCCCTCCCCCCCTCTTCTGGTGGAGCAAGGGAGTTCTTACCACTCTCAGTTTTCAGTTGGTGGACAGAGGTCTGTTCCTCCTGGGTGATGTTTGTATTCTTTATTCCACTGAAAGAGAAGAGGATGAAGCTGGATACCCTCCCACTCTTAACCTAGGTTGATTTTCCAAGATGTTGGGTGGGGAGCCTTCTCGTAATTCTGGTTCAGAGATGACACTTCGCTATCCGATTGTGTGAGTGTGACTCTTCTTTTTTGGTCATTCTCTTACTTTCCATGATCATGGAAAAGGGTTTTCGACTTCTCGTAATTCTGCACAGGGAGCCATTGATTGAACTTCGTTTGTTCCACCCAGGGGCAGGAGGTTTTCCCCTTGCCTCCATGTTTGAGGAATTAGGATTTCTGTTCGTAATCCCAGGTCAGACAATCTCTGTTTCTGTAGGTTGAGTTTGAGTGAGGCGTGAGTTAGATCCATAATTCTGAGTTTGGTATGTTGCATTCTGAGCTTATTCAGATTGGAGGGAAGACTTGTCTTGTTGGATGTTGCATGCCTTCCCTTCATAATTCCAGTGGCTCACATGTGACATTCTGTAACTTTCAGGTTTGGTGCCTGGGCCTGTAATTCTAAGTTTGGTTTGTTGCATTTTGCACTTCATCAGGTTGGAGTGAGGATTTTTCTGTTTAGGTGTTGCTTGCCTTCTCTTTGAAATTCTGGTGGCTCAACATGTAATATTCTGTAACTTTTAGGTTGGGCTCTCTTCATATCATATTTCTATTATACAGTTATATCGCATTGCAGCTCCCATGCCCTAGCCACAACATTTTGGCTGTAGCTTTAACTTCATAGTCCTACAATTCCAACGAGGAGATGTGGAACCTTGTCTGTGTGGTTGGGGCCTGGACGATTCTCGTGAAAATAAACAATGTTGACTCTGTAGCTGGTTGGCCTTTACTGCCTATGTTTAGATTTCACTTTATCTGGGCAAAGAGCACACCTGTTTCAGAAGTAGTGTGGACCCCTACTAGTGTGCTTTATTAGATCTCAATTTTGTATACCTGCTTTTCTATGCAGACACTTTATGTGTGGATCTTGCCCTCCACCTGGTCAATGTGTGATTCTAGCTGAAGTGTGAAAGGAAGTTTAGACTTTCCTATGCTAAAAATGTATTTCTGATAATACTTACCTTCTTTCACACTATCCTGCCCTTCCCCCCACGATAGCCAGTGTTCAGGTTTGATAATCTTGCCAGTCTTGAAAAAGTGAATAAGAAAGAATAACAGAGAACTTATATACAGATTGGGTATAGAGGGTGCATTGACGTAGGTGGAGAGAGTCACAAGATTAAAATCACTAGGAGCGATATAGTGGGGTATAACTATTGGAGAAAGAGAGGTAGAATTTATACCAATGTTTACATGGGCAAAAAATAAAACCTTTCATCGGGATAAAGCTAAAGTGTGAGAGAGGTAAGTATTATTGGAAATACATTTTTGGTATAGAAAAATGTAAACTTTCATTATATTTAAGTAAACTTGCTTGAAAATGATATTTTACAGCCGCTTTATCTTTCAATCATATCTACTAATATATTTGATGTTATTTATTTGTAATAAAGTTATCACTTGCTTCTTTCCTAACCAACATAGAGTGGCTTGCTAGAAACTGAAGAGTACCAGAAAGGAGAAGATATAATGGATATCTGGCTGGACAGTGGAATCAGTTGGATGAATGTTCTTCCTGGTCAGTGATTCTTTTCTGTATTTTATTGTTTCAGGTAATGCTTCAAAGATCTTGTTTTTAGTTTTAAGACATATTGATGTATTGTGGTTTCTTTTACTCAATATTGGATATTCTTTATGTTTGTGAGTACAGTTCTAGATAGATGGATGAGACATCATTCTTAATAGTTCTTCTTTTTAAATGCTGCATCTGTGTTGTGTTCATGGTAGGTTTTCAGTGCTATGTCTGTGTTATTATGACATGTTCTTCTTATAACAATGATGTTTTTATTTTTTAGCAAATCTAGTTGTGATAGTTATAATTCATAAGTTTTCTAATCCAAGAGCTGTTTGTTATTATATTTTTTTCACAATTGTTTTTGTTCACATCTCTGTATGTAAACCATATAATTATTGCTTCTCAGAAAAGATAATATCTTATTAAACCCATGTTGCATAAAGTGTGGTATCTATCAATGACCACCCCCACTTTTAATCCCAGTGTAATTTATATCATTTTCACACAGACCCAAAAATAGCTGACCTTTATCTAGAGGGAACAGATCAAATTCGTGGTTGGTTCCAGTCATCTTTGTTAACTAGTGTTGCCCTTAGAGGAAAATCACCTTACAAGTAAGCTGTTCCAATGTTTATAGAATCAGAAAATAGTAGTCTTATTGTTTTAATTTTCCTGCAAGTTAAAGATATGTAACATAGTCAAAATCAATGTTAATGATTATTAGTAAAATAATAAATTCTGATACAATATCTTACCTCTCTCACAAAAAGCTTTCTTGTTTTATACTGCCCTCTATCGGTGCAAATTTTGCTCACCACTAACATTGATACTCCCATACTAACTCTGCATACTAACATGCAATGATTATGTAGCAACCCTCCACCAATAGGAGTGCAACACTACCCCTCTTTAATTTTGCAGCTGTTTACCACTTCTTGATTGGCAGTTTTATTGAATAGATGTGTTTTTGCTCGTGGCTTAACTTATCCACGAGTTTTTACTTTCTTCATTTTTCTACTTCAGTTCAATTGTTATTTACCATTTTCATAATTTTTCATGGAGAGTTATGATATATTTAATTTGTTTTCTCTCTTTTTTTCGTGGCAAGAATTATGTACTCGCAATTTCATTTGGTCATAACTACAACTGCTGTTACTGCTGCAGCGGATTTACCGACCACATCCACCGGGCCAAAGCCCAAGTTATTGGCCCATGATGTGATGTCTATAGTATGTCGGGAGTTGACCAATTTCGTCCAACATTCAGAGCCAACTGATGATTGTCCTTTCATTCCTGCTCAGGGTTTGAGTGATCAGGAAGAAGAGGGTTTGGATAGTCTATTTCCATCTTCTGAATATGCCTCTCATTTGCATGTATTAGGGGAATTATCCAGACCTCTTTCCCCTTTTGTAAAATTTATTAATCAGGTATGTTCTGTTCTGTCCTTATCTCTCATTTCTTATGGTTCCACCTCTGCCCTTCTCAAGGAAAAACCTATGGATCATTATTTAGTGTTTTCTCCTTTCCCAGATATTGAGATTTATGCAAGTCATTTTTGGGAGCAAATACATTCGAGGATTAGTATGTCTCAACCTCTACATACTATCGATGATCATGCTTTTGCTTATCATCGTTCCAAATTCCCGTATTTGGACTCACAGCATTTGGAGTCACTTCTCTCTTTGTGGAGAGCGAACCCTGATACTTCAACTACTTCTCCCAACCACAGTTTTCTCATATTTGTCTTACTCTCCACCCTTCTTTGTTCCTTATCCTCCCTTCACCTTTTGTTTGAGGCTGTTCATAATTCCTCTGAAGGGTTTTCAGATGATACTTGGAAGCTCCTTTTTTCTACCATGACACATTTTTTCTCTTTGGCCCTGGCATTACAGACATGGCTGCTCTGCTGTTGGAATCTTTGCCATTTTATCTTGGGTTCATTTTCTTTCCACCTCATTGCATAACTTGCACATGGCACCTGTTTTTGCAACAAAAGGTGTTTGGGGGGTATCCTTGACTCCAATGAGTCGAAGGTTGAGTCAACCCTTCTGTATACCTTTCTCTCATCCTTGGCCTCTCATTTATCCAATCAATCTGTTCCTATATCTCTCCCTTCTAATCTCTTACCAGTTCCAGCTGCTCAGCCATTTGATATTTGTTGTAGATATAAGAACAGGCTATATTTTCAGGGCATTCAGCATCTGTGACTATGTTCTCAGATCAAGGCCAGTGGGGCCAAACTCCTTCACTTAGCCCACATTTGGAGGACTTTTGTGGTCAATCCATGGGTTCTGAAAGTCGTTTCCAAAGGTCTAGTCTTCCACTTCCATTCATCTTCCCTGTTGTCTTACACTCCTGTTTCCTTCCATCCTCCTCCGGATCCAATTTCTTGCTAGCATCTTTTGGAGACAGTTTGGGACATACTTCACAAGAGTGCCATTGAATGAGGAGATACTTCTCTTCTGGGATTTGACTCTCATCTCTTTGTTGTTCCCAAAAAGATGGGGGATTGTCATCCAGTCATCAGTTTGTCATCACCGAACCTCTTCCTCATCATTCCAAAGTTCTCCTTGATATCATACTTAGCTCTGCATTGGTTTTTCACTCTAGGTTTATGGATGACGAAGGTTGATACGTCAGATGCATATTTCCATATTCCCATCTCCCCTGCATCCAGGCAGTATCCTTGCTTTGTTGTTCATGGATGTGTGTTTCAATTTTGGAAACTTCCATTCAGACTTGCCTTGGTTCTATACATGTTCTGTTGAGTGGTCCAGGCTTTTGCCCAGCTGCTTCATTCCATAAGCCTTCATTTCCAACATTATATGGACAACTGGCTGGTTCTAAGTCCTATGTACTCAGCTTCTTCTCCAGGAGGCTGCCTTGTCAAAGTGAAGAAGTCTTTCCTCACCCCCACAAAATATTTGGTTCATCTTGGTATGTTTTTCAACTCCCTTCTCAGTCAGGTCTAACCTTCTCCACTTTGGTTGAGAGCTATGGAAAATCTTGTATGTAGGGTCTCATCCTCTCCTCCTACTACATGAAAGGTCCTTTCTCTTTTGGGGATGTGGTGTTCTCTAGAAGTCCTCATTCCTCTTGGTCATGCCCATATGCACCATCTTCAGTGGGTTTTAATAAACCAATGGAGCCTTGTTTTGGATCCTTTAGATTCCTCTCTTACCCTTACCCTCCCTTAAAGAATGACTTGGCCTGGTGGTTGGATTGGGACAATACTACTGTGGATGTTCCCCTTCCTCATCTGGAATGTCACCCTTTTACAGATGCTTCTCTTTCCAGTTGGTGAGCATATCTCAACACTCAGAAGGTTTTAGGGCATTGGACTCTTTCCAAGTCCTCTCTCCATATAAATCTCTTGTAATTTCTTGCTGTTTGTCGAGCTTTACTTCACTTTCTGCAGGATCTTGAGGCTAATTGGTAATGGTCCACTCCAATAATTCTACAATGGTCTCGTACATCAAAAATCAAGGGGCCACTTGGTTGAGAGACCTCTGTTTTCAAACATTGGATCTTCTGTATTGGGCCCACAGCCATCACATCACTTTGTTGGCATGTCATATTCTGGGTGCCCTGAATCTGGTCATGGATTGGTTATTCTGGCCTGACAAGATTCTCCCTATGGAGTGGTCTTTGGATCCTCACGTTTTTTGGGGTTTGTTGCTTGGTGGGGGTGTCCCAGATTTGGATGCTTTTGCCTCTCATCTCAGTACACAATTTCTCCACTTTTGGTGTCCTGTTCCTCATCCTTTGGTGGGAGCAGTCAATGATCTCAGTCAGGATTGGACGAGTTGGTACCTATATGCATATTCTATTTGAATCCTCCCATAACCACACTCTGTCTTCATGTGTAGCTTTTGTCTGGTCCCTCGCTAGAAGGCCTAGACTTTTATGATGTGTAGCTTCCTATCCAATTCATCTTTCCTCCATGGTGGTTTACCAATGTTGTACACCTACCTCTGTTGGTCTGTCAGATGGGGTTATTGTCCTTCCCATCCTACTGTTCCTCACTCAGTGTCTTTTTTGACTTTGCTTTTTTGACAGGTTACTTTCAGTTTCCTCAGTTGCTGGCTATCGAGTGAATTATCTGCCAGTTTTTAGTTTACCAAATTTACTTGTGTTTTCCAGTCACCAGTCTTATCCCAGTATCTTCATTCCTTCCACATTTCCCCTCCTCCCCACCCTGCTTCTATTTCTGATTCGAACGTCTATGTGGTTCTCCATACTTTTACTCATCCTCCATTTGAACCTTTATCTTTGTGCTCATTATATCACCTTTCCTTGAAGTCCCTGTTCCTGCTCATATTGGCATGCAGACGTTATCATTCTGATGTCTAAAGGCTAGTGGTGAGTGAAAAAGTTTGCATATAGAGGGCAGCACTGAATCAGGAAATCTTGATGAGTGGAGGTATCTATCGGAAATACATTTTCAGTGTTGGAAAATATTAACTTCTGTAATTTTAGTGTTTTATCTACGCACCATATAAAAATGCTAAAAGAAAAATAGAAAACATTTTTGGTTAGAGCATAAAAAATCTAAGTCTTGATGTTTTTTACACTTGGAAGTACAAAGCAATGCATAGTTTTGCTAAAAAAAAATTAATATGTGGTCAACTTTTTTGGCTTGATGAAGTTTATAAAAAAAAAGTCCATTTGAGTGAAGCATTTACCACATGTATCTCCACCCTTACAGTGATTTTTACCATATCTTTGTATTTTTAGGTTTTATCATGCTGTGACTGTATTTATTTGTCACTCTTATAGCTAAAGATAAATGATAATTATTTTGACGAAACAATCAACTTCAATGTGTTAATTAAGAAAATAAATATTTTAGGAATATCTTTGTTCATGGTTTCATTCTGGATCAAAATGGGCTCAAAATGTCTAAATCTGTTGGAAATGTCATTGATCCTGAAGTTCTAACTGATGGTGGTAAGGTAAGTTAAGAGGATGATAAAGAGCACTGTTTCGCAAAATTGGAGAAATATTAGTTATATATATAATATTATTATTTCTTGATTAAATTTATATATTGTATTTTCTTTTTTAAGATGTATTACAAAATTACATCCTTGGTTAAACACAAAATTAATATTCAGTATAGTAAAAGCATTTTAACAAACTCTTAAAATTTATGATGAAAAGCATTGAACTACTTCATAAATATTTTTTTTAGGAATTAAAGAAAAATCAGTCGTATATAAAATAGCATAATATTTTAAGTAACCAGATTCTGAAACCTGCACATTGAATGCTGTAGTTGAAGTAATTTCGTTTGAAACATTTTGATGACTGAAATGTTCTAGTGAAGTTGATGTACAGCTCAAGTACACATATAGATGAAGATATGGTATTTTTTGTAAATGCTTAAGACATTATTTGCCCATAACATCAGTTAGATTAGTTTTGTTGTGAATGTTTCTACATTTCTAGGATATCAAACATGACCCTCCATATGGTGCAGATGTTCTGAGATGGTGGGTTGCTTCTCATGCTTGTCATTATGACAATGTTCATGCTGCTTCACATGTTATTAAAGAAAGTGCAGAAAATGTACAGAAAGTAAGTTTTGATTTATGCACATCACTGTCAGTGTTTTACAAAAAAAAGTGTATGAATGTTTACACACATAACCTCAAAAATTGGTTCAAAATAAAAATGTCCGTGTGTACAGTATAACCCTATTGAGATGGTGCTGGTGCTTAACACCTACCGCTGTTTCTTTAAAGCTATGCATAGCAATATTTACTATAATTATGAATTTACTAAGTGTATCTTCATGAAATTTAGTAAATTGTTTATTTTTAGCAAACATTAGAAGTCTGTTATACACAAAAATATCAGATATTTCAAAAAAGTATTTTTCTACAAATATTTCTGTGAATTTACAGTCAGTCTGACTCAGACTATGACTAGTCTGAGTGGAAGATGGTTTTCATATTAAGAATAAAATACTTCTTTTCATCTTACAGTTTTTATATTTAATTTGCATAACATCTAGAACCTCCTAAATGAATGTCAAAAGTTTTTTTAAGGTGAAGGTTTGTTTTTATCTGTTATTTTCTATACCTTAACTGTAGCTGAAATTTGAAATTGCATTTTCGTGTTTTGCATTAAAATACACACATATTTGTTCATTTCACATATATGTTTTTCATAAAAATTGCCAAGGCTTAACCCTTGGTATTTTTCTCAAAATTTTGTCCATCATACATGTAAATGTTATTCTGGAAAAAAGTTACACTGAGCTAAGCTTTCCAAAAAATAACTTTTTCGTAAAAACTCCCAAGGCTTAATCCTTAATATTTCTCAGAAATCCTGACTAAATTTGATTTTACTTTACTTTTGAAGAAAAGGTACACGCTGGAACATGATTGTAATGTAGTTTCTTGAAACCATTTTTATTCTCATTATTCACTGCAAGAAATATTACATAGATAATAATAATACTGCCTGCTGCTTTAACATGATATAATAAAAAATTAATTGGTTTGTCATTGATTTAGGTTCATGTGACTAAAATACCTAACCAACAGAGAAAACTTTTATTTTTTAGTTTGGGTACTCCACATTATTTTTTTCAAGGAACTCACACTCTTTAAAGAATTTTAAAATTAAATTAAAAACATTACACTATTACGAGTATTAGGACTTCACTGAAACCTGGTGATATCATGCTGAACATTAACCAGTACGTTTACTGTGGAAATAATTACTAAAAATTAACCTATGATCTGGTTAACATGACGCATTATGAAGTATTCCTACTGTAAGCAGAATTATTATTATTATTTCCTGTGATGTATATTTTGTTTATGATCATGTATCAGATATCTATACTGACATTTGTTAAGCTAGATCTGTATATAGGTAGGTAAGCTTTAATTGCATAAATTGACTGAATTTTGCATTATTATATTTTGTTTTGAAATATTATTCAACGTGAACTAGATAAATCTTTTATTCTAGGTTCGAAACACACTGCGATTCCTTCTGGGGTCACTGCATGGGTTTATCTACAGTCTGCATAAATGTGAGTTAAAAGACATGGAACTGTTGGACCTTCACATGCTTCATCTTATTCATCAGCTTAATCAAACAGTGAGTTACTCACTTGACATACATTCTTTTATATATTATACTGGGAAACACTTTAACAAGGACTATGGACTACAGATTTTTCAACCAAACCTTCAGTGGCTCAATATTAAGCTTGAGGGCTTATAATACTTAGTTTGATAGTTACTCATGCTTCATATTATTCATCAGCTCAATCAAACAGTGAGTCACTCATGTAACATACATTCTTTTAAAACTTGAAAATCATAATTTTTACAAAACAACAGATATTTCACATGTTGTTATGAAAAATCTAGAGATAATGCCGGTAATTAAAAACATTAATCATGTTAAATACTGCTACTAACCAGTGAATATTTTCATGTGCTTCTTATTTTCATTAAACTTGAAATTAATAATAGTATTAGTCATAGATGTTTTAATTTCTAGTAATAATAATAACTTCTGTTCAGAGTAGGCAATGTATTTAGAGCTAAACTGAAACTAAATCTGGCCATCATTGTAGCTTATAAATATGCTTCTCTTACGTATATACTGTAAAGATTAGAACGCTTTGTTTTGTCAGTTGCTGATAATGATATTTTTGGCCATAAACTCAATAACATCTCAATATTTGGCCAACTTAGGAGATGTAGGTTAGTCCTAAATACATATACTAAGTTAAAAATTTAAAACAATCTTTATAATGAAAGTGTAATACTAAAAAGTAATTAAACATTCTAACCAATACTATTAATGAAAGTTACTACAAAGAAAGAACGTTAAGCTGAAATCCATTAAGTCTTTTTTTTTTCCAATTTTAATGTTTGGAACACATGTGGATGAAGCGTGTCTTTCAGTTTTTTCACTTTAACATAACATAATATTTTGGCACAACATGGGACCTATTGGTCCATCTTGGCTGTTCCATCCTCAAAACAAATTAAAATGATTTAAAAAAATAAAATACAAAAATTTTAAACCCAGCCCTTTTCATTCATATATTTATCAAGCTTTTTCTTAAACTCACTTAAATTTACTAGCTCTACAACATCTGAAGGCAACCCATTCCAAAGGCCAACCACCCTGTTAGAAAAATAAAACTGACTTAGCTGAAGATGACTCCTACCTTTCCAAAATTTATATTTGTGTCCCCTAGTCCTACTGTTTTCATTGTTAAATATAAAAAAAGATGATGTACCAACACTTCAATTTCCTTTACAATCTTAAATACTTCAATCAGACCCCCCCCTGACTCTTCATTTTTCAAGAGAAAACAATTTGAGAGATTTCAGCCTCTCGTCGTATGACAAACCCTCCATCCCAGGTACCATTCTGAACCCTTTCCAACAATTCAATGTCCTTCTTAAGGTAAGGAGCCCAAGACTGAACACAATATTCCAAATGTGGCCTAACTGGTGACCTGTACAGTGAAAGTATAACCTCTTTAGACTTTTATTCAATATTTCTGTAGATACAACCTAAAATCCTATTTGCTCTACCACCAGCAACAGCACACTGCTCGGATGGCTTTAGAGACTGATCGACTATTACACCAAGAT